ACACAGAGGCACAAAGGTGTCACATGCTGCTTCACCCTCTCTTCTACATACGTTAGTTACTCCCGTAAACTGATTTTCTTTAATACAGACACATGTTTAATAGAATATTTTTTTTCTCATGCACACTATTACAACACATTTACCCAACAAACAGAATCCTTTTTATCCACAAAGTGACTCCTGCTTTTTCATTCTGCCGCCTAAGCCCTTCTCACAGGTATGTCTGCTATTAACTCATATACATTTCTCCCACTTCCACCCTCACTCTGAAATCATCATTTCAGTCACTTCAGATCACAATAAATTCTTCAGCAAAGCACCCGAAACTGCTCTGACAATCCCACCTAGCAGGGCATTTGTAGGGATGGGATTTCTCCCCATGAAAATCAATCCATCTCCCCCAAGAGCCATTTGCCTCCCTTTCCCAGACTGCAACCTCCCAGACCTCAGCCCTGCTTCCTGCATCCCTGCACGTCTGCTCGGCTGCGACCCTGCCATCACACTGCTGCACGCTCGGTGCTTCGGAGCTGAACAGACAAGTCTGGCAGAATCTCATCATTCAGAAAGAATCTCATCTTTACTGGTGCTGCGCGATGCCTGCGTATTTCCCTCGTGGCTGCTTCCATCCCAGATGCTCTGACATCTTTTCTTGCGGAAAAAGGAAAGAAGTTTTTACTTTTTAGTATCCCTGCAGATGTTCAGAAGCCTGCAGGGCTTTTCAGGGAGAACAGGTTTCACATGGCTTCAAGATCTCAGCACTCCACAAAAATAAATGATGATTGTTTTTTCCCCAGGCACCTGTATTACTGCATGCCGCTACAATAAGCATATTAAGTAATGACACAAGATAATGTGGTTATTAAGGATAACTCTGTATGGCAAGCCATGTCCCTTGCAGGTCCTTGCATATGCCAGCTGTCTCTGCATGGCCTTTTTGTACCCAGAGCACATTGGACTTTGAGCATGCATCATCTCAGCTAACTTTAGCTGTTGAAATGTTGGCACCCAAACCCCTATCTCATCTCCCTTTAGCAACAGATCAGTGTCTCCCAAGGGTGATTCAATCCATCCTGATATAGGTGTTTAGCCCGACAGCAAAGGATAAGCCTCTAGAGAGTTTCTCTTTGCCGATTACAGATGATCTGTTGAAGATCAATAGTCTACTTTCTAATGGTTAAATGTAGATGAGGACAGTCCCACTTTGTGTGTCCACAACAATAAAAGATTAATCTTATTTTGCATCAGCCTTACTCTTTTTCGGGAGAGTAGAATACATTTCTGGCAAAATGTGTCCCCCGGATAAAGACAGTATTCAGGTGGAAACGAATTAGATATATGGAAAAGACAATCTTCGTGCAACAACATCTCTTCAGGACGATCTGTTCCCCAAAGTAAAGAGGTTCAGGGGCCAGTCTAGAGAAACATTTTCTTAAAAAAAAGACTTACTCATGGGCTCAGCCAAACTCTTACAGGAAAACAAAGAAACAAAAAACCCCCAAAACTGTTTTCTATGAGTTGCAAGCAGCATGCAATCGCACCCAATCTACTTTGAAAATTTCCAAGTATTGGATGAAATGCTGTGGAAACGTATATGTGAGTAAAGTTAAAACTTTAGAACGAGTGCATTTACTAAAGGGGACATATCTCACATGTAGGCTGCTGTAACCGATATCCCAATACAGACCGAGAAACTGCAGCAGCAAGAGAAAGACGATGGGAAAATCTAACATGATGCTGGAGTGCAAAATAAGCCTCTCAGACCATTACCATGACAGCAGACTAGAAGAGTCAAGAGAAATGAAACAAGATGTACTTTTCCCTTCCACAGAAATATTTTAGGCTTGAGACTTCTTAGTGTCTAAAATAAAAGTTAAAAAAATCCAAATACAAAATTGAGCAATAAGGTCTGAGAAGAAATATTGATAATTGGAGACACTGCCACTAAAAGATGCATTTTGATTATTTTTAAGATTTTTTTTATACAAGTTTATTTTCCTCACCTTGTTTTAACTATAGATTACCCTCTGCATGAAAACAAGAACCAGTTTCACCCTGGAATGCAGAAATGGGATGTTTGGAGAATTTCAAAACTCATTTAAGCATTTTTTTCAAATCTTGTACAATGATCTAGGGAGGTATTCTGATCTACACCAGATGGCCTGAGCTCCACCAGAGCTGGGTTTATAAAAAAAGAAGCAGTATATTTACCAGATCCAGCCCCTGTGCGCAAATAGCTTCAATTTTGACAAAAGCGTTTTTGAAGTAAAACACTTAATTGAAAAATTCCCAGGAAAACTTCTCTGGAGAGTATCATGCCCCCTTGTTAACGAGTTTTGGAAAAAAATCCAAACCCAGACCCAAAGACGAAGAGATGTTATCATGGGAGTACTGGGTTTACTTATTTTTTTAGGAAGTCAATACATATTTTTTAGCACTTTAAAGAACAAGATAAGAGTCCATAATTGCAAATTGCTCTGGAAGCAAAAACATAAATTTGCATGAAGAAGTGTGCACAGTGAGTAAGTTATAAAAAAAAGCAGAAATGAATTCGTTTCAAATCCCATTCAAATGAAAATATATTTGATGATCCTGAACTTGTGTTGACTGCAAAGATGCGTGTCTGTTTTTTGAGTGGTACCAGTCTGGGGTTTAGGACTTTCTTAATTACAACTCTTCTCTCTACTGGACTTCATTGTCCTTCATACCACAATGTCATAGGATCCCAGATGAATATTACCACAATGTCATGGCATTCTGGCTGAAGATATCTGTGCCCTCTAAGAGAAGTTATTGCAATTGCCCCCTCCTCTTTTTATAGTGCAGGAATGTTAAGTACAGAGAGGTTAGTAGAGTGCTGAATCCCACCACACACCACTAGCCCAAGGTCACAGTGGAAGTCCTTCTCGGAGCCCAACGTGATCTCTGGTGTCATTATTCTAAGAACTACCCCAAACCCAAACGCCTTGTAATCTGACTTCTTGATATAATTACAAATTATTGCTTTTTTTCACCAGTATTTAAAGAGAAATAATTTCAAGGTCTTTATGATTTTTAAGGTCTTTATGATTCAAGGCAGGACAAACCCACTTTTAGTACTTGCTTTGTTAGAAATCCTGATATGCAGGAGTCACTCCCATGTGGAAGAAGCAAAGGGTTTCAGCAGCCCTGGATTTACAAGCTTCCCGTGAGACCTGATGCAGTGTGCTCTGGAGGCACGCTGAAGAGTCAGAGTAGCACATTCCCTTTCTCACATAGTTTCTGTGTTTTTCTGAGGGAAAACTTTACTTTTTCAGCTAACAAGAGAGGGTCCCGGAGACGTTCATCCCTTGCCTCAGGTCTGAGGAGCTAGTGCCGTGGATGGCAGTGTAGCTCTGTCCATTTTCCTTTTTGGCATTATCTAATCTTATGTCCTGTGGCTCATCTTAAACACAGGTGGTCACCAGGACTCCCCTGTTAGTTGCTCATTTTCTTGTAAGAAACGGAAAGAATCTGGCTGCTTTAAACTAATTAACAAAAAAATACTGATTTACACCGAGTCATTGTCTGGTCCAAATCCCCACGAGAAAGAAACCTATGAGATGCTGCAAAGCTCCTTTTCTTTTCCCCAAGGGGAAAGCCTTTTTCCAAAGGACAATTCCCAAAGGACAATGTCTTGCAAATAAATCCTGTTGTGTATTGGAGTAACTACCTGTCAAGTGGTATCTACTGCACGAAGAATATGGGAAAGCTGCTCCTGAAGATGTGTGCAGGGGTCTCTGACATTCCCGGCAAATGTGTGTGGTACAGAGGGAGCAAAGGGTAACTAGTCATTTTTAGATCTTTATTTGCTTATTGCATTTTTGTAAGTCAACCGGTCTACTCTTTAATAGTCCATTTTATGGTCATTTCCATAGGAATATATAATTTCTTTCTGCTTATCACTGTCTGAGAGAAATTTCTTTTGAAATAAAAGAGTCACTCTCTGATGTCTGATGATGGGTCAATTCCCATGGAAAAAAGCATTTGAAAAGGAAACAGATCTCCAGTATCCCTTCACTGGAATTACCTACTTCACGGCTTTAAGACCTTCAGTGTTCCCTAAACGTTGGCAGTTCGCTGTCAGTGGGGTGGCTCACGGAAAGCGCAATGTGATGCCAATTAGACAGCTCAGGATTAAAGTAGTGACCCCAAATCCTCTCAAAACCTGTTTCTGAAAAGACTGTGGAAACATAATCTTGTCCTTATACTTTTGAGCAAGACTTCAGCAAACACTGCTGAGATCAGCAGTGACTCTTTCCAGCAGAGACTTCTCTAAAGGAGAAGGAGTAGGACAAGGCTCATACCCTTTGGAGGAATCCTTGGGGTACAACCTGAAAGAGGCAGGTCATTCAGGAAATCTGGATTTTTGCCCAAGTTTCCTTCTGCATTCCAAAACACACACATAAGGACACAGTTCCTTTACCATTCATTTGGGTTTTCACTGGAAAAGCACAGGTGTCACTGGCTCACTTTAAGAAAGTCCCAGGCTGGTGATGTCTACCAAAGCGATGCATTCCAGGCAGAGAGAAGTGAAATCAGCCCATGCTCCAAGCCTGTGCCAAGTCTACTATCTGTCCTTGGCCATTGGTTAGTCAGTGGTCAGCCCTGCGTGCAGTCAAGCCTTCCTCGCATCTACCTGCAGTATTGCCTGCAGAGGAGCAAGAAGTTTCCCACTGAGGTCAGTGAAGCTTGTGTGCAATAAAATTTGCTACTTTGGGGATAAGACTGGACAAACAGATCTGACCATTCTCAGATAAAGTAAGATTCAGCTTTTAGCTTCTCTTTAGCAGACTCTGCAGTGACTTTGCTCCCACTCTTACTCTGCCTGTGCCAATTGCCTTTGCTGCTCACTTTCTGCTCAAAACCAAGAGCTACTTTTAGGGAACATCGTCTCACAGCACTGAATACACCACCATCAGAACCACCACCAACTCAAGCCCCACTAGCCTGCTTTCTCCCATGCCAGGTTGAAAGATACATACTTTGATAGAAGCTGGGTTAAATTCAACTTCTTTTTTGGGTTCTGGTTCTGCTGGTTTAGGTGCTGGTTTGGGTTCTTCCTTCTTAGGTTCGGCCTTCTTAGGTTCGGGCTTCTTTGGAGGCATGTTGATTTGCTGACGGGCTGCTTTAGAAAGAGAGAGAAGGAGACAGACAGACAGACAGGAAAGAGGCGACTGCTGCAGGATAAATCAGCAGCACACACAGGTCTTTATCCCTGTCCGGTCTCTTGAAGTCACACATTGTGTCACTCTCCGACCTGTCACATGCCAGAGCTTACAATAGGACCACTGCTATAAAAGGACAAGACATTTACCCGGCTATTTTAGAGCCATTGGATATGGCATTGTTACAAATTAGCACTTAAATGGAAAGACAGTTCGGGGATTTTAGGGCTGAGGCTGGCACTGGGTCAAACATTTTTGGTGTGCGTGTACATGCGTGTGCAAGGGGGAGGTTGGGTTACAATCCAGGTCCCTTCGATGGGTTTTCTCCTCCCCCGCTGACACTCACCTTCTCAGCTCACTTGCTGCAGAATATCTCTCCTTTTGGCTGGACTGCATCCCTGGCCTTTGTTGTGCCACGGTTCATTAAAAGACAAGCATGGGTTTATATTTAGACATGAGGATGGAGCTGTATGGGAGGTTGACCATCAACATGTCAGCTGGCGCAGGAGGCAATTCATGCCCCAGGTCACACACTGGTCTTCTCCTGGGAAAGTGCAAAGAACCAGTGTTGCTTATAGCAGAATGCATTTAACAAGCAGGAAAACACACACACACACACACACACACACTCTCGGGCTGTGTTATCACTGGGTGTCTGTAAGTACATCCTCACGGCTGAGATTTTCCAGACCATTTTAGGGTCTTGAATGCCAAATTCCTATTAAAATAACTAAGATAAAGGTACCTGTTTGAAGCTTTTCTAATCTCAGCCTCACTTTGATTTAAATAACCTCCCTTCAAAGAAAACGGAGTTAACTTTTTTCAGATCTGCATTTGTTTATGTAATTTTTCTAAATCAAAAGGTCATTCTCTAAGACATAGTCATCTCCACATTGCCTAGATAATTTTTTTTAATAAAAATACATAATCCTCCATAAAAAAACCATCACCTACCAAATCACAATGTATTTGAAAAGGGGATCTATGCTGGCATTTCAAATAAACATCAAGTGAATCATAAATCTCTTTGTTTTACTTACTTACTATGTCATCCTGATAATCTACCCCTTTGAGACCTGCTTTTCCCAACACTTCTTCCAGCCTGGCCCTCCAGTGCCTGCCTCTCTGCCCTCCTCAGTTCTCTGGGTGGCTCTGATGGAAGAGCACACGTGCTTTACCCTGCCCAGCTGCTTCCAAATCATGGCACATCCCTTGCTGGCAGTACACAAGAAACTTTGGAGTGAGACATGAATACTATACAGTAAGCTGGCTGCCCCTGTTAAGCTGCTGTCCACCACGGCTTCAGCAAATGAAAACAGTTGGGGAAAGGTGGAGAGACTGGAGCTGGAAATGGAGAAGGGCTGACCTTTGTGTTGGTACCACTTAGCATGCAGGTCCATATCCTACGTGAATCTGAGCCTGCTTTCTGATTCCAGGTCTGAAGCAACACCACAGTATTAGTAATAAATACATCACTACAATAGCGTGATTACCACAGTCATGGTAATCTGTGCTTCTTGCATAATGGGAAGCAAAATGCAGCCCTCTAATCAAAGCGGACACTTCGGGAACATTGTAACAGAAGCTATGAGCTGCTCCTGACCAAGCTGGCAAAGTGTTTTGGTGTTTTGGTGTTTCAGGGCCAGCCTGGAGAATTGTACTTTTCCCTGCAGCATGTCACCTTCCAGGAAACTCGATTCTGGTCCTCTCCACAAAGCTGGTAGTAGAGAAGGGATGTGTCTTTGTGAGAAGTGATGCAGAGATCTGTCTGCTCACTCTGGCCAGACCAAACTCTAGTCCTCTTCAGTTCACCACAACCACAATCCCACTCTGATGGAGCCCGCCAGTCCCAATCCACACGTTTGTGTATTCACCTGGGGAAGAAGTTTCTGACAGCAAGTTATCAACATATTGATCTGCTCACTATAGTCAGTGCAGCCAGGGGAGCAGTTCGGCTTCCCTAAGGTAGAAACCTGCATTTGGTCCCTGGGTTATAGGGTGGGATTCATTTGCATTAGCGATGCAGCATGGATGCACTAGATGATCCCACTTTGCTTCAGCTGCCGTTGCAGAAGGGCCTCAGTTTCCCATAAGGTCTGTGCTGTAATTGCATACCTACCAGTTCCATACGTGTCCCAGATACCGTAGGGTATCAAAAATGGCTCTAGAAACACTTACATAGGCAAATGAATCCCATCCCCTGTGAATTATCAAACTACAGGACACCCACACAGTTGTGGAGATGCCATTTTAGGCAGAGGCTTCTCTGATGACACCAGATACTTGCATTTAAGCAACTGAGTGAAGCCACAGATACCTACAGAAAGAGATACTCCACCCTCACACTGAATATATGGACCAGATCTCTGCTGACTGTGATGGGAGCGGGGTCTCACAGTTCACATACTTACATTGTAGGCGCCCTATCTGGGCTGAATGCCATCTTTTGAGATTTCCTTTGTATTGCAAAGCCCTGGAGTAGAGGATTATCTGCAGGTTTCTATTCCTCATTTGCCCATTTTCTGTCCAGAACAAACAAGAGTTAAGAGTGGAAAGTATCTGACATACCCTGCTGATCGGAATAAGCAATCTCTGTAAACTTTGCAAGCTGTAGGTACTTCTGCAAGGAAATAACTGAAATCATGCATTCTTTTCATGGTCTGCATTGATCTCTGCATTGAAATGAGTCTTGGCTGGAGAACTGTAAGAACTTTCTACAGACCCAAAGAAATACCAGGCAGTAACTTCACCACGTTCCCCCACTACAGACTTTTCGATTGACATCGCAGGAGCCAGCGTGGACCCAGGAAATTCTGGGTTCTGCTAATTCAAAGCAGCAGAACTGCGGTGCAAATTAGCGTGCACTCTGAGAGCAACCGTAACCACAAGGACAGCATCTGAGCAGGCACCAGCCTAAGTCATGAATGTGTTTCACACAACATTTAAAAAAAATACCAGGTCTTATTCCTGAACTGAAAACAGCACTGGAAAATATCAAGAAATTAAGATGCCAGCAGCAACTCCACAGCAGCTCGGAATCTTGTCACGTCCACCTCTGCAAGATAAGAAGAGACCACAATAGCAGGGAGAGTTAGATTTCACTTTCTCTTCCGAATTCCACAAATCAGCCATGGTTGTGGGGTTTGCTGATGCTTTGGGTTTTTTTTCCCCTCAGCTGCTCTCTAATAAAAAGACATTAGAGAAATTCCAACAAAGATGACCCAGAAAGGTGACTGAAATCTCAGCTCAAGTCTGATTCTCAGCCAAAATTCAGTAGTCATACTGTCATACAAAGATTATCTCAATATGTTTTTTTTATATATTCATGATAAAGTATATTCACGATACAGCTGGCTTGACACAGTTCACAGAAATGATTCTTTACATTTCTGTCAAAATCAAATTGGTTGCAGTATCCTGACACATTTTGTAAATTGTCAGTTCTGCTTGGAGAGCAGAATTCTGGCAATGCCAATAAATCCCAGTTAAATACTTCAGGATTTCATTCAGTCTGCTATGTGTCTGTCCCTCTTCTAGACCCACGGCACGTCCCCTCCTGACTTCTGCTTAGTTTGTGTAAACCTGTCAGTGATCAAAATACTCTGACAGAGCAGCACTTTCTCACACCTTCTGGTCATTCTTCACTTTGCTTTTTCATCACAATGAAGCGCAGACGGCAGGCAATAGCCCCATCTGCGTGATTACTGCATACATGCTTATCTGTATTTAAATATACAATATCAAGGCAAAACAGGGAGGTACAATAGGAGTTTTAAGTACCTGCAGGGCTGGCTAACCATTTCTGGGTGGATGTCTTGGATCAATTCCACAGAGTAAAGATACTCCAATGCCCTGTAAATCCTTCTACAAACAGCCAAATCAATGCAGCTAATCTTGCCCTAAATCCCCCATTCATCTCTTCCATGAGGATCCCTAGAGTCCCAGCAGCTGCAAAAAAACCCTGACCAAAAATCTCTCTTCTTATTAATAGGTTTTGAAGGGTGGGAAGGGGAGGCGGGAATGGGCATCAATTTTTTAGTCATGCTCACAACAGATGTTAGCAGCAGATCTTTGTGCCAAAAAGCAATTCCAGAATCACCCTAGAGTCCTACTTGAGAAGCTGGGCTAGCTGTGAATTTTCTAAAATTCTCTTGATTGTCGGGATATGATAAGTTTCTCCTGAGAGATGGACTGGGATCATCTTCAAAGACAACCGAGCTCATCAAGACATTTCCCACAGAAAAAAATGGATTTAAAAACCAGAAACATAGAATATAAGTGAGAACAAAATATTCCAGCCAAATTCTAAATTGTTTAAATTTGGGAGTACTGCCATGATGCCTTATGATTCACTGGTCCTTGACAAGTCTGCCCATCCAGTTTTACTGGAATCATAGAACAGCTTGGGTTAGAAGTGACATCAAAATTTCATCTGGTTCAACCTTTTGTAGGAAACGGAGCCTAGATGAGATTATCTCGCAATCTTACTCCATTTACTCCAATTTGCCACACAACCACTCAGACCAAGTAAATGAGACTGTACAGTGAAAGTGAATCGCCTCTATCTGAAGAAAACAACAGCCTGAGAAAAACAAAAGATTTTGATGAAATAGTGTCATGGGATATTTGATTTGAACTCTTGGGGGCCAAAACACACCAGTTTTCAGATATTAGACTTCTCAACAGAATAAGACATGCCCCCCCTCCCAAGAAGGTTGAGGGCTTTCTGGTAAAAATAAAAATAAAATTAATCTTTGAGTTTAAACTTGAATTCTCTCTTGAAAAACAACCATTGGCGGAAACTCTCCAGACAACTTTAAATGAGAGGCTGAGAGCACGTCAAAGATGTTCTCTCTCCAACCAAAAGTGGTTGTGCAACTTTTCCCAATAAGGAATGCTGTCCTTAGAGTTGTTAGATGGCCACAGCTCTTCCCCAGAGAACAAAGAAAAAGTGTTTTTAGAAGATTTTCAACCAGAAGACGATTTATTTTTCTGCTTCGGTGCCCAGCA